TCATGAGTAAACAACTGTGCAGGAAAACTTTCTGTCATTGTTTTAAATTAAAACAGGTTTGCTGAATGTGAACTTTACAAGATAGACATGGTGGATCAAATTAAGGAGAAGTAGTCTCCAGCTAAAAAGGGCAGAATAGGCAGAAAAGGTGACCTCTGCACATGGTCAGGGGAGAGGTTAGACAAAGACCACTAGTCTGAAAAGCCAGAGTAAGTAAACAAAGTAGGGAAAATGTAATGTCAGGAGATTAGAAAGGTTAAAATAATACATAATTTCAATTCATAATTTTATGTTAAAATTAATATGATCATGGATATTCGTAGTTGAGACTTGTGTGCAGCTCTTGAGAGAAATGGTGACTTAACAGCTTGCTCTCTGCCTCATCAAGAAGTTGTTTAGTCCTCAGGTGGCTTTTCAGAGTAGCTCTAAGCAATCTAATAGGGAAAGAAAAGCAAAAGAATGCCATCTGTTACTTCCATGTCATTAGTATCCACTGATCCTGTAACAAATGAGGTTTTCCTTTTCCTTTGCACTGTGTGTATGTGGACCAACAGTATGGTGAACAACTCAGACAGTTTGTGCTTTGAGTATAACATTAGAGAAAATCAGCAGAGACAAAACATGAGAGAAACAAGCATTTCTCTTAGAGCATATCCATCATCTCACAGTCTTAAAATATTTTCATGTGAATGTGTTACCTGAGATTTATTGAAAATGGTTCTTCTTCAGCTACTCTGATGTGTGGAACTACAGTGTAATTTCTAGCTCTTGTATGAAGGTAAGTGCTGGATCTGGGACCTATGGCATTTGTGGGATGTCCTGGCAGACTGTCACTGAAGGCAGACCAGGACCTCACAGGCAGAGGTGTACTTTGGACCCACAAATTGGATGCAGATGTGGTGTGCCCATTGCCCACCCATATTATGTGTGAACCACAGTAGAAAACAGTATAATTAATGAGGGATTTGATAAGGATGATGACTAAAGTTAAGGTGCCAGCCAGTGCTTAACTGTTGAAAAGGATGAATACAAAGACTGAGAAGTGCCAGCCTTATGTATCTCTTATTTTAACAAAGCTGAAATTTATGAGAATGAGTTTGGAACCATTATGTCCCAGGGAAATGTGCAGTTTTCAGTGCCCTTATCTCATAGGGGTGTGTCCCTGAACCTAATGCACAATTTGTTCTTATTTTTTAAAAGGAATAGAGAAATTTTTATGCTTGATGATTTGGTCCCTGATCTTTTTATTCCTACAGCGTCAATTGCTGCGAGTCTCTGAACCTGACAGAACTGAGTAATTTTTAAAAAATATAAATAGGGAAAAGCTGTTTTTTAAGATTTCAATTTTCTTGTCCATAAGGCATATAAAATCAACACATCTGTAGAAATGCAAATAACTTACATGTGAGGACAAGCTGAAATTTAGCCTTCTTGGGCAGATTATATTTATCCATCAGCATTCACATATTGTCTCATCAACACATGTAGGCACTTCTATTTTTGAAAAGCCTCATTTATCACTTGTTGAATGTTTGAAGCTGAACTGCTTTTTCTCAAAAAGTGTTCCTTAGATTGACAGATTCTTATGTGAACTAAAAAACTTAAAAAACAAAACAAAAAGCTAAAATTTCACCCACCTTGCTATGCGTGCTATGCAAGGAGCCACACATTTTCTGTATGAAAGCTTTGAACCTATGATGAAAATGTAGCTTTTCATCAGTTGGCTTATGGACTTAGATTTGCTGATAACTGTCCATTTTTAACTCTTTGCAGGCCTTTTGCTACTTTTACCTTTTGCCTTATATTACAAACAACATTTAGGGAAGACAAAGGATCAAAATTTGCTTTTAATATTGGATTAATTGTGGCCAAACTTATGTTATGTCCCTTCTGCAATAACTGATTCTGTGCAGTAGGAGCTGGCCTAGCAATTCAGTTATTGCCATGGTCCGGCTCCAACATGTAGTTGCATCCTGGTGCCCTGAAATGATCCTGTTTGCCCATGGGGAGAACCCAGCTCTTTACCACCCTTAGGGTGGTAAACTCATGCTTCTGATGAATCTTCTGATGAAGCTTCCTTTTCATCAAAAGGAGTTTCTCCTGCTTTTCAACCCATGTTCATTCCTCTTGATTCTTTCAGGCAGTGGGTTAACATCCCTCTTATGATCTGTCTGAAAATTGAAAATTTGCTAGAAACAGAAGGTATGTGAATACCAAGATTGCCACCACAGTGCTGGAGGATGACCAGGATTTCTGATCTGACTGTTCAAGCTTCCATTTTCCTTTGCTGATTTTATTTACTTACTTTTTTATTTATATGACTGAACATATTTCAAGTTGACATGAGATCCACCGATTAAAGCAAAAATAAACAGATCTGGTATTTCTTGCCTTTCTTATGAGGAAAAACTGGTAAGTAAGAAGCAAAACATAAAGAAAAGGAGACAAAAAAAAGAACGACTTAACTAAATTCACATGAAATGTAGGCAGATTTCATATATGCAGTAGTATATACGTCATTAGATATTGAGGTTGCATATGAAGTATGTTAGAAATTAATAATGAAGGTTTTGCATTTAGAAAAAAATAGTTATTTAATACACCCATTTTATTTTACTGTTGGTTTTATAATTAGCTGGTTTGTTCCTCAGAATAATTTCATTTTCCTTTCTTCAGGTGTTCATATGTCTTCTTTAATCAGCCAACATACATATTTGTCATACCAACAAATGCATTATATGTTATGTATTTCATCACTGAGTGGCTTCCAGAAATTAATTTCTATATCTAGTTGTCATAAATCAGGAGAACACCTCTATTAATCTTCATTCCCTATAAAGCATTTTTATTAAATAAAGGTGTATCCTCATTCTGCTGTTCTATAATCAGCTTTGTCAGAAACATTGCAGGCCTTTATTTCTTTAAAATATTAGCTTAGTGAAAATTCAAACTGCTATTTATAAGCAAGAGAAATAGAATCTGCATATCTGCAAAACTACCAAACACTGAATTTCTGTGTTTAATTTTGCTTAGACTAGAAAAGAGCTAAAAAGGTTGAAAATGTATATATACATGTAGAAGAAAGGACTCCTATGAGAGTAATAACTAGCTAATGAAAGCCTATGATTTCTCAGATGGAGAAATCTCAGCCAGTTATATACATTTGATGAGACAGAATAGGTCTTCAGGACAGACAGGGGTAGAAGGAGAAAGGCATCATATAAAACAAATAATGTTTTCCAAGATGGGAGGAGTGATATAGAAAAAGACTTTTCTTTCTCTGCGTGAGAAATATATAAAACATACAAAGACATTGTCACCACTGATTGAGAAAAAAGGTGCAAAATGTAACATAACTCTAAGACTGATGAGGTGTGCATAAACTCACTTCTTTCCAGAAGGTGGGCACAACAAATAGTCTATTGAAGAAATTGTATACCGTATAAGTGCGTTAAAAATCTGGCTAAATTATTGTGATTGAAGAAACACCTCCACCAGTCAATTTCCATCTCTGATTCCCTGATGCTCCTGAGCCTGTTCACCTCCTCCCGGAGCACCGCTACCTGGCTGAGCAGTTCTTCAACCTGGGCACACCTCCCACAGGCATACCCACCACTGCTGTCGGAGACAGACAGAAGGCTGGGGCACACTCTGCAGCCCAGGACCTGGACGGCTGCGTGTTTCCCCGAGCCCTCTGTCTGAGTAGGTCGGATCAGGTCATCCACCTGCTCGCACCTCACGCACGCAGTGTCTTTGCCTCCCGCCGATGGCAGCAGCAGGCTCTGACACTCCCTGCATGCGGTGACCTGAACTGCTGCATTCTTTAACGGGTAGTCGGTCGTGTGGGCGGGGGGGAGCACTCTGCCCTGCCTGCGCGAACCGCCACGCTAACTGCCACGCCACCCCCTTCTGACGCGCCACGCCCTGTTTGCCCATCCTGGTCGCTCGCGCTCCCTAGGGGCTGCTTTTGAACGGCCGGGGAGGGGGCACTGCTGGCTCCGCCTTCGCCTCGTCAGCCTCCCTCACGAGGGCTGCCGGCTCCTGGCGGCTCCCTCAAGTAGGCTCGATGAGAAACTGGGTGGACAGCCAGGCCCAAAGAGTCGTGGTGAATGGAGTCAAATCTGGTTGGAGGCCGGTCACCAGTGGCGTTCCCCAGGGCTCAGTGCTGGGGCCGGTCCTCTTTAATATCTTCATCGATGATCTGGATGAGGGCATTGAGTGCACCCTCAGTAAGTTTGCAGATGATACCATGTTAGGTGCGTGTGTCGATCTGCTCCAGGGTAGGAAGGCTCTGCAGGAGGATCTGGATAGGCTGCACCGATGGGCTGAGGTCAACTGTATGAAGTTCAACAAGGCCAAGTGCCAGGTCCTGCACCTGGGGCGCAATAACCCCAAGCAGAGCTACAGGCTGGGAGATGAGTGGTTGGAGAGCTGCCTGGCAGAGAAGAACCTGGGAGTGATGGTTGATAGTCGGCTGAATATGAGCCAGCAGTGTGCTCAGGTGGCCAAGAAGGCCAGCAGCATCCTGGCTTGCATAAGAAACAGTGTGGCCAGCAGGGCTAGGGAAGTGATCGTCCCCCTGTACTCGGCTCTGGTGAGGCCACACCTCAAGTACTGTGTTCAGTTTTGGGCCCCTCACTACAAGAAGGACATTGAGGTGCTTGAGCGGGTCCAGAGAAGGGCGACAAAGCTGGTGAGGGGCCTGGAGAACAAGTCCTACGAGGAACGGCTGAAGGAGCTGGGCTTGTTCAGCCTGGAGAAAAGGAGGCTCAGGGGCGACCTTATTGCTCTCTACAGGTACCTTAAAGGAGGCTGTAGCGAGGTGGGGGTTGGCCTGTTTTCCCACATGCCTGGTGACAGGACAAAGGGGAATGGGCTTAAGTTGCGCCAGGGGAGTTTTAGGTTGGATGTTAGGAAGAACTTCTTTACCAAAAGGGTTGTTAGACATTGGAACGGGCTGCCCAGGGAAGTGGTAGAGTCACCATTCCTGGAGGTCTTTAAAAGACGTTTAGATGTAGAGCTTAGGGATATGGTTTAGCGGAGGACTGTTAGCGTTAGGTCAGAGGTTGGACTCGATGATCTTGAGGTCTCTTCCAACCTAGAAATTCTGTGATTCTGTAAATATTAATTTGGAGAAGTTTTAGCATCTTCCCCATCTCAGTAGCACATATTAAGCAAGGAGTGTTGCCTACATATTCATTCTTAGTCCATCGCTCTCTAATTTCTAATCCCATGTTTCACAACGAGGAGCAGCCCAACGATCAAGCGCAGCAAGGACCTGGGCCGGCACCCCGGAGCCCATGTGGCCGCCTGGCACCGCAGAACTACAGCTCCCAGCACGCCTCGGGACGGAGCAGCCCACCTGACCCTGCGGGGACTCTGGAGCACCCCCCCCCACCGTGGCCCTCCCCTCCTCTGCTCGCTCTGCACTACGGCAGCTTCCAACGTCCCATCCTGCCCATGCTGTCTCTCTCCAGGTGCCCACACAGGTTCCGAGGGAGCCTTCAGACCGCCTCCCTGGTTAGGCAGCTTGTGCTGACGGGCCTGCTTCAGTGCCCCGCATCTCTTGCTGGGGAAGCAAGCTCTCCTTTTCTGATGAAGAACTTGCTTCTTCTTTCCAAACTGAACCTTCCCTGGCAAGGCCTGACAACCACCACCATAAGAGAACAGATGTTTTACTAAGACACACTGAGAAAAGCAGGGATGGAAAGGTAGTTGTCGGGGTGGAAGCCTTCTTCCTTTAAGGAGTCTATTCTCCTGTCCACGTTGGCTTTCATGCGAGCTGCCAGGCGGGACAAGCTCTGTCGTCCTGATGTGTCCTCCAGGCTGTAGAGGTGCCCCAGTGAGGAGAGGCAGCGGGTCTGCTGAAGCATCCAGGCTACCTTCTTCCTCCTGCCACACAAGAGAAACTGCTGAGCCCAGAGGCGTGGCTGTAGAGCACCAAACCAGACTGGGCAGGGGAAAGTGGGGTGGCAGCTGAGACACGTACACCTCCTCAGAGGAAGGGAGCTGGTGCTGAAAGGGCTGCCGGCATGGAAGTGGGCAAACAAAGAAGTGCTGCCAGGGGCAGCCAACCGCTACAGAGGGTGTGTTGGCACTACAGCACCGGGGGGGAAGTGATGCCAGGCACCAGCAGGAGAAGGACTATCGCAACTCTGAGCCTTCTCCTCATCACGCCCTCCCTCCCCCCCCCAACCTTAACCCAACCCCATCCCGTCCCTTGAGGTCACTGCCTTCCTTCCCCTGTTAAGCCCGTCCTCGCTGTTCACATCTCTCTGTTCCCAGCCACCCCGGCCTCATCCGAAACGTGCCAGCAGGTACATCCCTCGGCACAAGCTGCTTTCTACGCAAAGGCCCAGGGGCTGCCCAGGGGGGCAGCGTGAGGCTGCACTGGCCCCTGTTTGACCCACACGTCGTGTCCTTAATGCCTCGGTCCTGCTAATGAGCTATGGGACAGCTTAGGCGTGGCCTGAAGTCCAGGCAGGCCTGGGCCTGAATGCCTGGCACCAGAATACTCTTCCTTTCCCACCAGAATACTCTTCCTTTCCCACGCTCTCCCTTCTGCTGCTTACCGAGCCTCTAGCGGAAGTGAGGGTGTTCTGTTTGTGTCACAAAGAGCACGCTGAAACCTTTCCCACAGAGACGTGACAAAGGCTCCGGAGCATGTCTGAGGGAATGGCTTTTTCAGAAGGCTCAGCGCCTGCCTGGTCATTTTCTTGGCCAGCCCCACGCATCCTAGGATACAGCAGACCTGCATAGGAAGAGGAAGCCATGCAGACACTGGACCGCTTTGCCCAAGCCTCTCCTCCTGCAGAGGCTGCAGAAACGTACAAGGGGCTGGCCATAGCAGGGACACCCCCTGCAAGAAGGGCATCACCCTGCCGCTTTACCTCCGCTTTGAGGCTTAAGAAGGTCGCCTTCTCAAAGCAGTCTAACACAGTTGCTGTCTTCCGCATGGAGTTCCTCAGGACCTCTGCTTCTCTGAGCTTCATAAGGGCCTTTGAGCAAGCACACAGGCAGCAGGTGAGCATCGGTGCAGAGCCCCCAGCTAGCTCCACCCTTCCCTCTTGCCTCCTGTGGCACCTGCCTTAGGAGGGCCCGCATCTCCCCATGTGATCCCTGCCCTAGCACAGTGCCCCGTGGGCTCAGAGCTCAGGCACCAAGGGAGCCTTCAGACTGCCTCCCAGGTAACGCAGCTTGTGCTGACGGGCCTGCTTCAGTGCCCCGCGTCTCTTGCTGTGGGAGAGGCAAAGCGCAGGAAACAGTCCGGCTCTGCCCCCACTGTTTCTTTTGGGAGGCCCCTCAGCGAGCATGTCCTGTTGCAGTGGACTCCAGGTGCAGTGCGTGCTGGCAAGCAGGGTCACTCACCATGTAGCTGTTGGAGACGTGCAGGTAGGCAGCCGCACACTCCAGCAGGTAGTAGAAGGCTCGGGAAGCATTGCCTGTTGCCACATAGTGGCGAGCCAAAGGCACAAGCACTGATTCAATGATGGCTTCGCATTCGCAGGAACACTTGTCACCTGTCCAGGGTGCTGACCAAGAGAGCAAAGAGCAGATGAGCATCACCTGAGATGACCCTGCTCTCCCTACGGGTAGCAACAAAACCCTATTTCCTGCTGTCTCATCCCAGCTCCCACCCCACAGCCAGCCTCCTCCTCCCAAAGCTGGAGTCCAGCCAGCAGCCAAATGGCAGAGCTCCATCTGTCTCCCCTGGAGCTCGCTCGTTTCCACAATCATCAGAACCTTGTCTCCTCACCTGAACTCCTCCTTCGAGAAAGCCTGCTGCGGCTGCAGGGCATTTGCACTACCTGGGAAGAAGAGAGCGTGTCAAGGGACTCCCCACGTAGCCCGGGCTAAGAGCTGCAGGCTTGCAAGGGTCCTGCCGAGCAGACCCAGGGCACAAGAGCTGCGGTGATCGTCCTCGTCCCCTGGCTTATCCCTGGTGCTGGGGACCTGGTGGGCCCCAGCCTGCATGGGCCTGGGCTTCCAGAAGGAGGGGGCTCCGCAGCAGGGCACACAGCCTACCTTCAGGGATGTGAGTCCTGTCCTTCTTCAGCTGTTCTCCAGCGAGCACCAAGGCCTCCCAGCTCTGCCAGTCATCCTCGTCAGCAGAGCCCTGGCAGTTTTCCCCGTCCTGGGGACTGGGGACGGCGAAGCGGTGGAAGGCCACAAAGTCCCCTCCGTGGCAGCGCCGGCATTTGTGCGCGTGCTTCTCCAGGAAGGCAGCACACTTGCGCTGTGTGCTGGCCCTCTGTCTCTTGGGCCACAGCTCGTAGGCTGCCTCCTGCAGCAGTGGGGCACAGAAGGCCAGAACGCCAGCCTGCTGCTCCGTGGTCTCCTTGCTTGTAGACGCACCTCTCCACCCCTGCAAGGCAATGGATGGTGGCCTCAGCCAGAGTGGTAGAGACATTCCCAACAGCCGCTGGGAATTTCCCTCTGCACAAAGCTGGTGGGGGAAGGCCTCCTTCAGCTACAGCGCTCCTGGGTCTACCTTACTGCCACCACTTACCGCTCCCTGCCTGCTGAGAGGTGGACGGCCCCTCTCGAGCATCTTGGATGTCTCTGGGCACCCCTGTGTCCTTCAGCCACTTAAGGATGTTGTCGCTCACCAGCCCATCCAACAAACTATTCATGTGCTGCCTGGTACAAGTGGGAAGGATGTGAGCCAGCAGCTGGGTGGTAAACACTGGCCCTATGATGGCTGCAAACTTCAAAACCATCTGCTTCTGCAGCGTGATCCGGTCCAGCTCAGCCAGTGCAATCTCTGTCAAGAAGAAGCAAAACGTCTCTCTCTTTTGTGTCCTGGAGCCTGAGCTTGGAGAGGCTGGACAGTTCCACCACAGGAAACAGGGTAGACTTTGGCCTCTCTTCCTCAAGATGGCACCTGCTGGGCAATTGGAGTCCAGGGGAATGTCTTCAAGATGGCTCCTCTCCTCTTGCAACCACAGGCAACAAGGCCCAGGGATAAGAGCTCCTCCACCAAGGATGGGGAGGGTACGATCCTGCGGGTACATGCGACCCGTGATGCGACCTACCAGAGCTGAACTAGGCTGACGCCCAGCAGTGCACACAGAGAGCAGAGAGCGCTTTCAGCACCTCAGAGCTGGACTTGGAGCTCCCCACAACTGCTGTGGGCCTCACAGCCCGGAGGGGGACATCTGTGCCCTTAAGCGCAGGGCTCTGTCTGCTCAGACCAGAGTCGCCTTCCTGGCAGGGCCCCCCAGGCTGAGAGGGTGCTTCTGCAGCATGCCGATGCCCATCCCCTCTCTCACGTGCACCCCAGGAAAGGACCCCAGCACAGCCGCGAACTCAGCCCCTCACCTTTCAAGGTGGCCGGCAGCACGGTGGTCTCCAGGCTGACGTCTGCTCTGATGGTGCAGACCCTGCCACTGTTATTCCCAGCACTGGAGCTTGAGGTGGCTGAGACAACGAGTGAAGCCTCAACTGCAGAAGCTGGGAAGAGAGAGAGAGAGCATGAACAAGGTGGGGCAAGTCCAACCTGTCACGGTTGGGTGCACTTCATGGCCCGCACCGAATGCGGTCAGTGAGCAGGGCAAACCGGTTTCCACTGCAATGGTTTTGTCTGCATTGCCCTTGCAACTCTTTTTCTGCCTTCGGACCTGCTGCCCAGCTGTACTGAATGAATATCCCGCAACAGAACACAGCGGTTGCTACCTTTGACAGCGCTCCCTCCCACAGCCAGGGAAATTGCCAGTGATAATCCAAAAGGCAAAGCCCATGCAGGCTGTCCCCAGGGCAACAGCACTCTGCTTGGCATTGCTCTTACAATTACTGCTCTTGCGTTACTGCCAAGCTCCTCAGTTCCCAGCGCCTTTGCGGGCATTTCTGGTTTTGGATTACACTTTCCCAGGTCTGACCCTCTCCTGCAGAAGGGCTTTCTTCTCGAGGGAGCTGGTGGCTTGCCAAGGTGACGGCAAGGTGTGCAGGAGCCCACACCTCAGCCAGATCAAGTTCTGTCCTGCTGCCAGATCGGACTCTGCCCAGAGTCACTGGAAAGCCACAGGACACGGTCATGTGTGTGTGTGGGGGGGGGGGGGGGGGTGACGTGCAACAGCATCTAGCCAGTCCGCAACAAGAGTGCTTACCGATCAAGCCCTCCCAGTTGTCCTCCACTTTTTTGCCTTCCCAGTGCTGAACAAGAGCACGTTGTCGCGACGCAGGCAGTGCAGCAGTTCCTCACAGTAATATGGGATGCCAGAGCTTCTTTGGATCAGGAACCTGGGCAGGAGCAGACCCAGCAGTGACCAACACCAGGGAAGTATGGTGCAACACAGTTCTGATGGGCGAGTGGCGAGTCACTCAGGCCTCACAGGGTAACCAGCCTCTTTGTCACAGCTACGGCTCACTTCAGAAGGGGGCGGTCCTCCCACTGGCTTGGGCGTTTGGGACCCCTGACCCTACACTGTTTGCTGGAGTCTGTGGGGAAATGGTCGTGGGCAATGTCCAAAGCACAACACAGCAAGCCTGATCTTCCCTGTCCTCAGGAGCCCAGATCTGCTCTGGCAGCTGGCTGGACCCCCTGCTCCTGGGAATCCCTACTGCAGCCTGGCTACATTGGTCAAAGCCTTTTTGACACCTCAGCCACGCTGAGGCTTGGGTACCCATCTCCCTCTGCTCTCCTCTCTCCTCTTCTCTCCCTTTTCCTCCCTGCCTTGCCCTCCCTCCTCTGCAACAGCAAAGGGCTGTCACTGCCCACGTGCTGCGTCCTGGGAGCTGCCTATCTTAGCTCACACCTGCTGTGGTGGTTCTTAAGGAGAAACCCAGGTCCTTGCTGGAGTCAAGGATGCTGCCAGAAGGCCCCGTGCTTCCTTTCCTGCGGGGCGACTTCCTTCCGTGGCAGCATAGGTCCAAGCCCTCCGGAAGAGCTCCGTGGCCTGCAACATACCTTGCTAGATCCCTGGGGATGCTGACCACTCCAAGGTCCTGGCAGACTTTCTGCACCACAGCTGCAGGTTTCAGCTCTTCCAGATGAAGACAGCTGATTCTCTGGGACGTTGTGCTGTCTGCTGCAGCTTTGAAAAAGCTCTCCGTTCTCTCGTGGCCAGGAGCTAAGCTCATCACCATAAAGAGCGTGACGCTTTGGAGCACAGGGCCACATGACAGTCCAGGAGGCAGGGTCGATGAAGTGGGCGTTGTCGATGACAAATATGCCAAATTCTCCTCCAAGGGTCTGAAAAAAGCAGATGGTTCTGCGTGGAGTCTGGCGGATTCTCAAGCATCCTCTAGGGGAGGAGATGTAGCCTCTCTCCGGAGACGGAGAATACTCAGAAGTCTCTCCCCAGCCGCTTCCCTCTTCAGAAGCTTACTGGCTTTTCATTTCTGCAAGACTTTAAGGCCTCCTCGAACATCACTTGCCCTTCTGAAGAAGGGAGCTTGGGCAAAGGAATGCAGAAGGCGTCAATCCTCCTCCAGGGCACATAGCCTCCAACTTAACAGGAGGCGAGCTACGACGAGGCATATGGGGAGGGCGTGAGAGGGGCTTCTGGGAGGAGGGGCTCCTGGGCCCTGAAGGGCGGTGACCCTGGCACATCGTCCTGCTGCCCACTCAGGCTGTTCTGATGTGGAGCCTGCAGCGGGCAGGGTTGTTTTCTTTCCCTGACCCAGGTAGAAGGAGGAACGCTCACCTTCTGTAGCACTTTCCTGCAAGTCTTCTGCAACTCCCCTTTCATTTGAAGGTCATGCATCTGGCGAACCTCGTCTGAGATGGCAAACTGGACAGGAAAGCAGAGTCAGAAAGAAACATCATCCTGGGACCAGGCATGCCTATCCACCAAGCTAGACGGCAGAGCAAAGCGCCTCTGCTTTTGCATGAGGTCAGCGCAAGCCTCTCTTCACTGGCCTTTCCAGGGTGCTGACCAAGACACCTGGCACATGCACAGGACATGAAGTCACCACAGACAAGGAGCCTCCCTGGACCCAGGAATCAGAACGGGGTGCTATGAGCACTGCAACTCCCAGCCCAGCAGAACACCCAAACAACCACCAGACTACCTCAGGAGGCCTCCCTCTCGCTCTCACCTTGACGAGGAAAATGTTGTTGAGGAGGCAGTATCTGCTCTCTTCTATCACCCCTTGGAGCTTGGCCTGCAGGGTGCGCTGCCAGTCCTCGCACGTTTCACCTGCCTGCAGTCCCAGGGCCCTGGCCACCAGCATACGGATGGCAGAGAAGGGCTGCCTCATGTGGGCCTCGGTCAGTTCCATGGTGACAACCCTGCGGTGCAAAAGCAAAAGGCACTTGAGCTGCAGAAAAGGCCCCCAGTAGCCCACGCCTGCCAAGACAGGAGAGTTAGAGACGCACGCTGCCTGGTTCTTACTGCAAAGGAACGCAGGGTGCACAGTCCCGGAGGTGGGGGCGGAGGGCCAGGCACAGGGCAGAGGCATCGCAGTCTTCCACGAACGTCAGGGGACGGGCATGGGAAGGGTCTCAAAAAACCCACTTACCTGTGCCCAGTGGCCTGGCCCAGAAAGGCCAGCTCAGTAAGTAAGCGGCTCTTTCCAGAGCCCAGAATGCCTGCGTACGCCAGGATGCGCGGCTGTCCCAAAGTCTCGTAGGCCTTCAAGCTGCGTTCAAAGAGGTCAATCTCCACCTCCCGACCTGTGAAGACCAACCAGGAAACAAGCTGTTGCAGCATGCTGAAAAGCAGGGCAGCATTCCCTTTTGCTGGCACGGCGGCTTCCCTCCACCACGTCAGTAAGCCTGCCTACACCCAGGCCTCCTTCCAAGCCCCTCATCTCAGCTTTGGCACCACTGCCTTCCTTAGAGCTCTAACAGAGCCGCCTGCCCACTGGCCACACGGCGCAGCTTGTAGGAGCTCTTTCCCCTCCGCTTCTCCTCCCACAGGCAACGAGATTCAGCCAGCTGGACGCAGCTCCCCACACTGATCCAGCCCAAGACTGGAGGGCACACTTGGAGACACTGCAGGCAGCTGCGCCCAAAAGGCATGCCAAACATCTCACTGCACCCTGAGCCCCAGAGCTCTTGCCGGCACCCTGTAGCTAAGGTGGTGTCTTCGGGCCTGTTGTGGTTTTGGCTGCGATACAGCTCCTTGTCTTCACAGGAGCTTGGAGTGTGCTGTGATGTGGTGGACTTGCCACCAAAGGAACGCCGAGAACACACTGAACTCTTGCCGAGCAGTGCTGGCACAGTGTCAAGGCCTCTGCAGTTTCTCATGCTGCCCCACTAGCCAGCAGGCTAGAGGAGGGAGGAAGGGAGGGAGGGGGCTGTGTGGGGCTCAGCTGCCTACCAGGGTTAACCTCCAGCAAGGCGCACCGCTTTGGGCAAAGGGAAGCAGCTGGGGTTCTGAAGAGCGAGGACTTCTCTACCTACCCAGCAAGGGGCGACGGTCCGACCTCCTCTTGGTACGATCCGTGTCAAAGATGCTAGAAGCGGGAGAAGACAAAACATGAGTTTCACTTAGTTGGTCAGAAGCCAGGGAATATAGAGCCTGCTGTGTTAGGGGAGGAGACCCTCCGCAGGTAACTGCTTTTCTTTCCAGCAGCATGCTGTCCGGAGCATGCTCCCCGGCCAACATTCCAGTGGACATGCCAGGACAGCTTCAAGCACAAAGAAGGCCAGCAGCCATGGTGGGACAGCAGAAGGTGTTGGGAGTCCCTCGCCAGAGGCCAAAACCAAAGAAAGCCCAGATGGGGCAAAGAAGCCAGGGTGTGCTGTTGGCTAGGTAGACTGCTTTGCCACCCTGGACAAGCAAAAGAAGCCTCTTGGAAAGGAGGACCTGTGTCACTTAGTGGCTCAGGACAACAAGCACCTGGCACCTTTGGCTCAAGTCTTTTGGTAGTTTTCAAGAGACAGCAACGTTAACATCCAAAAGGTCCTCCAACCCTGGCCCGGAGGGACAGCTGAGAACTGAGCAGGCAGACAGGAGGAAGAGTGGCCCAGTGGCCCACCTTTCCCCAAGGCGACATGACTGACCCAAAGCTTCCTGCGCAGAAGGAGCTGGGAAAAAAATCCTCCTTGCATCAGAATGACCTCTGCCTTAGCCTTGCACATAGTGAAGCAAACACAGGGCAGGGAGCCCAGCGGAAAGCCGCTTGGAAAAAGCCTGCGTGGCTAGCGTGCGTCTCCAAAGCCAGGACAACCTTCCACACCCCACTGGCGTCACTCGCAGCTCTCTTAGCAGCAGGAGACACAAGGGCAGAAGGGCACAAAGCAGACCCATGCCAGGCCTTTGGATCTTCTTGGCCACAGGGAAGGGATTTCTGTGGGAGGCCAGGCTGGTCTCTTGCTGCACAGCTCCTCTTTACCAGTCAAGGTTGCACCCTTGGCTTCCCTTGTGGCCCCATCCAGATGGCTCGGAAGACACTCACCGCTTGTTGGTGATCCCCACATATTGATAGACAGGGCTGGGATCTGTAACACCTTTCAACTCTTTCTTCGGCAACTCCTTGAAGAAGTAACTGGGCAGGCGAGAAGCCTTGTAGGTGTCTTCATCACAGGACACCAGCCTGGGGTAGTGCACCATCAAGCGGGCACCCAAATTCACCTTATGGCCAATCACTGCCATGGAGAGAGAACACATTGACATGGTTAGGAAAGCAGCCTTGCCCCACCCTTCAAGGCCAAGGGCTACTTCCCCTTGTTGTCCATAGGTGCATGCCTAGTGCACTGCACCAATGAGCACACAGAGCGAAGATCTTTTAATTAAGTAATTCATTATATAAATATATATATATATTATATAATAAAATAATTTATTATATAACTCTGCAGAGTCAGGTGCTTGGCGATCTTCCGCAAAGCCAGCACACCTCTGACTTGAATCACTGTTACTTATACACAGCAAACTTGTGAAAGTTATCTCTTTGGGTACTTTTGATTGGCTATTACAGCTCACCTAACTTATGTCTCCTGAGTTTGCACATTACAGAGAAAGAGTGGGGGCTGGGGAAGCAGGGACACACCAAATCCCACATTAGCATACGTTAGCATTTTGATGGGTACGATTTTTAATACGTTTACGACCCTTAATGAGCAAAAGGTTACTACAGATTAGTCTGGAGCTGTTGTTCTCCTCCTTGTTTTCACCTTTTGTCCCTTATCTCCCTTGCTCCTGCTAGCTCAAGGCTACCTGTCTCTCTGTTCCCATATTCTCTCACCTAAAAGACTATACAAGCTATAGAAATACTACACAAGCTACAGGCCTCTCTATATTCTTCAAGGTTTCCTTGTTTTTTTTTCCCAGCTTTGGGACTACACCCTCAGGCACAGGTCAACCCCGCAGCAGGGCAAGCGGACCCAGCGGGAACCGCAAGTCTCTGAGGCCATTCTCCCACCTCAGGTGGAGACCCGTGACATCTGGGCCGCTCTCGGCAGGCTGTAGCATATGTGCTTGCCCCAGCCTTCCCATCTCTTCATGACTGACATGCTTAAGCACACCCACGCCAGCCTCCCACTCTTCAGACTAAGGTGCGGTACCTGTATGTTCAGCCCTCTCCGGATGGCCACAGAGGCCGCAGAACATCGTCCCGGTGGTGACCCCAATAGACATTGCCCTGGCACACAGGGAGAGAAGCGCAAATTCAGTGGTGCCCCAGGCGCAGTCCTGCTCGCCCCGCTCTGCCACTTCCCACGTCTCCCCTTGGCACCAACCAGGGGGACCACAGCCGGTGCATGCCTTGGGGACTTGGAGAGCTCGGGGCACCACACAGCCCACCCACAAGGGACGTGGGGAGGGTGCACGCAAGATGGCTTGGACCCTTCCCCTGAGGCCCAATGGCTGCGACCTGCAGCAGGCCACAGCCCCTCTCACTAGTGGAGGAAAGCAGGTGCTACCCACAGAGCACCTACAATGCCAGCGACTTTGAGATTAGGCCCGAGCCCTGTTCCTGGCAGGCTCTGCTTGGAGGGACTGCGCCTGGCTGCCGTGAGCTAAGCCCAGGGGCCACCTGCTGCTTCTCAGGGTGCTGCCTCAGTCCTGCCAGGGACAAAGGAGGCCAAGCCAGGAGGCCACGTCTCTTGCTGGTCAGCCCCCTTGCGCTGTCCCAGGCAGCACGCATGCCCTGCAACACCGCCACACACTCACTCAAGATTCCTCAACGATGTGGAGCACGTGCTGAAGATCTGAAGAGCGCTGTCCAAGGCATGGGTGCTCTCGTGATGCAGCTTTGCTCCAGACATTCCGAACACACAGAGGAATGTGCAGCCCTGCAGAGGACAGATGCAACACATCTGGTTACAGTGCCTATGGCCAGCAGCTAATGCCGTTCCATTGCAGTTGCCAGGGAGACCAGTACAGCTGCAGGTCAACACAAAGCCACAGAGGACTGATCCCACCAGCAAGGCACAGCTGCTCCTCAGTCCCTCTCCACTAAAGAGACACAGGCCACCCTCGGGGGGTGGGATTGCTCCCCCACGCTCACCTTATCAAACAGAAGGCTTTTGTTGATTTCGCCCTTGTGAGGACTGATGATTGTTGAAATCATCCTGGTGGCATCACAGAGGCCCCTCTGAAGATCCATTGTGTTGGCATTTTCAGAAAACTGCAGCTGGATAAAGAGGCTGGTGACTGGCCGTAGCTCAGACCACAGGTGCAGCGGCATATCCACGTCCAGCTGGAAGTGAAGAGCACGACAGCTTTGCCAGCCTGTTCTCCCGGCGGTTCCTCTGGGCCCGTGCCACGTACCAAGGGAGATCAGGCATGTTGGCAATACCAGGTACTACTGGAGGAAGGGTAAGTCCTCTGCTCGGTGCCAATCGCAGGCCAGCCTGCGGCAGGCAGGTCATAGCAGAGTCATAGCACAAACGACAGAGGGGAATGTTCCAGCAACACTCCATCTTGTGGCAAGTACGGATGCGAGGGGCGACCCTCTGGCACGTCCCAGGGACTTGAGCAGAGTCATGGAAAAGACAGAGGCAAGTCCACCTCCCGCCACCCGTGCCTCTTTGAGGAGCAGCACAAAATGGGCAGATGCCTGGCACATGCGGCACCACTAAGCCTGGCATCAGGTCCCCTGGGTTCCCGCCCCAGGGTGCTTTTTCTTCCATTTGTCTGTTTTCACGAGAGCTCCACCCATGCAACGCACACCTTCTTCTGCCCTCCCAAAATGAAGCCTCCAGCAGCAGTGGCCTTACCTTCCTGAGAGCAGCTTCTGGTATGTACTTCTGCATCTTTGCTGCCGCTTTAGGATCATTGGACACGTGAAAAGGTGGCCTTTGGTGCCCTAAGGGAAGCAAATGCAGGCCTTCACTGGCAGGATGGGACTAGAAGGGGGTTGAAAGACGGGGCTGGCACTGGGCAAAGCAGAGCAAAGATTCTTTGGCGTTTCCTCCTGCTCCCCTCTGCAGCTGCTTGGCCAGAGCCGTGCCCTGGAAGGAGGGGATGGCAGCGACAGCCTCAGCTGAAGCACAGGAGGGACAAAGGCACGAACGCTGACTGAAAGGTGGAAGAGGGCAGGGGGAGTTCCTCCCTGGAACTCTGAAGCAGGCAGGCCCCATTTTTCCAGCCAGTCTCAGAACATGGTGAAGCAGGGACTCACTTAGCCTTTCCAAACGCCGCATCTTCGTGTGTTGGTCAAACTGGCCTGCAGCATCTTCGCGTTCTGATCCAGACATGTGCTCCGTCCTCTGAACCTGCAGACACGCAGAACAAAAGTACTGCCACTGGCCTCCCCAAGGAGCCCCGGGAGACACAGCCTGCCCCTCCACTCTCACTTTCCAGAGAAGGGCAGAACCTCTTGGTGCAGCAAGCCCACCTCTCTGGCTTTTCAGCTGGGACAGAAGTGCCTCCTCAGAAGGACCAAAGCCACGCAGGCATCACCCAAGCATGCCCCAGCTCTCCAGGACAGCTGCGCGACCCACGGGGAACATTGCTGGTGGGGCCCACACCCTTCCTGTGCTTCCCTCGGCCAGTCACACCAAGCAAGCACTACCCAGAGCTACCCCTGAGGTGGAAGGGCAACTGCTTCAGCTCTCTACCAACCCTTACAGCTACAACTCTCTCCACATCCAGCGCCTCAGCCTTCTAGCACCTGCCTCCTTCCCTCTCAGGTGCGGGTCTTCAGAGAGGCTCTAGAGGCCAACCCGTCCACCTACCTTCAGAACCCGTTTGCGACCAAAAAGCCTGGTCTGGATCTGTTCCTGCTCACACAGCTCCCAGCAGGTGGGCGAGACAATCACTTCACTTTTAACCGCAAGGTTTTGGGCCATCATAACTTCATCCAGGGCGTTGCTGCAGATGAAGTACTGCTGATGGTACCTGTCTCCAGCAGACAGTATGGTCATTTTCCCTGCGGAGATCCCTGGGGAGAGAGCAAGAAGCAGCATTGACACCGGGGAGCAGCAGCAGTCAGCAGCACTGGAGAGTGCCAGGGCTGTGCACGTGGCACAGCTGACCCTGCAGCGCCCATACCTATCTTCAGGTGGAGCTTCTGACCCAAATGCGTGTCACGACTGCCATGCTTCTTCTGGATTTGTTGGCAACACTGCAGCACCAGGCTGATGGTCTGAGGCAGCTGAGCTTCTGATGCTCTCCACACCACCAGCACAGCATCCCCTGGGGAAAGTGAGGGGAAGGGGAAGGCTCTCCTGAGGGACAGCAGCAAGTGGCCAGCTGGCGTGCAGAGGAAGACGGGCTTGTGGGAGGGCATCCTCCTGAAGGACAGCACCCTGGCCACAGGGACCCCTCCTCTCTGCCAGACCAGCCACAGCACCAGCCAGGGCAGCAGGGGAAGAGGGTGGGTGGCGGGGGGACCCTCTGCCCAGCACTCCTCCGCAGCTGCAGCAGCCCAGGGACACCACCAGAGGGATTGCTGCGTGGCCAGAGAGCTGCTCCATCAGGCCAGAGCACAGAGCAAGCGGCTCCCGCGGGAAACACTGCACAGCAGCAGGACATGGAAGCAGCCTCCTCCTAAGGACATACCTCCAAACTTCAGGATGTCTCCTCCAAAATCCAGCACAACTGTGGAGAAAGAAGGGAAGGCAGAGTTATGGGGCGCCTTCTTCCGGAATCCGTGGGGCAAGCCACCTGTAGCCACAGCCCTGGCCCCTGTACAGTGAGTTGGGAGGCCACACAAGCACAGTACAGTGCAAGCTGGAAGGCACCTCTGGAGAGTATCTGCTCCGGTCCCGCACCCCGTCTCCACTCAAGCCGAGCCACTCCGAGCCACCTGCCCGGGGCCACGTCCAGATGCCTGGTGAAGATCTCTGAGCGGGGACACTTGCAAATGCTGCCAAAGTGGTGGCCACCACATGCTCACGGTCAGAGACATCCCCCAGGATAAGGGGCTCAGGAGGGCCACCAAGTGGGTCACCTTGTCATAGGAGATCAGGGTAGTCAGGAGGCACCTAGCCTTCAAAATCCCACGCCAGCTGCTTCTGATCCCTCCATTGGAGGCATGTGCCATGTCACAGCACTCAGGATCACCTGCTCCGTAACCTGCCCTGATACTGACATCAGACTGACGGGCCTGTAATTCCCTGGAAAGTCCTTCCAGCCCTTCCTGTTGCCTGGAGGCACGTCTGCCAGCCTGCAGTCCACTGGGGCCTCCCTCATCACAGTGGGCAGCAGAAGAGACCTGCTGCGCTCCTCCCTTGCCACGGGAGCCCCACGGCTCCCACTGTCCCCCCAGGCCACAGTGAGCTCCACAGCCCTTCCAAGGAGGCAGGAGCAGGTGGTGCAGCAAGGCTGCCTCTGCCCTCCGCAAGCAACCTCAGGGCCCGATACACAACAGCCTGGCAGCATGGCTCTTACCCTCCAAAAAGTCGCTCATGTAGTCATTGAGTATTTGTGCCAGCTCGTCAGCACCTCTGTCTGTGCCGCTCTGCTGGACACACTTCTGTGACAAAGCAGTATAACCTGCAGGAAGAACAGGCAGAAATCAGGACATGTCTACGTGGGCCACAGGGCCTGGCAGCCAGTCCTGTGCTGCCAAGCCTAAGCGCCTGTCAGTCGCTGCATCGCAAGAGAAGCCAATCCGTGCTCTCTTTAGCCATCACAGCAGGAGTCCGCAACAGCGACAAGATAGCTGTGCCATCTACGGGCCAGGGCCTCTGAGGGCCTGGTGTGTCCCAATGGTTAGAGGTTGGACTCGATGATCTTGAGGTCTCTTCCAACCTAGAAATTCTGTGATTCTGTGTGATTCTGTTTCCGGGGAGGCTCTACCGTGCCCAACCCACCTGAAACATCTGCTAAGAACAGCACTCCCATGATCGTCTTGGGGATCAGGTTCTCCCAGGCGAAGTTCTCAGAAAGAAGGAGATCGGGGAGGAGGAGCACGCTCCTTTGCCCCATCTCAGAGTACGGGCACTCCCGCTCCCAGGCAGATGCCATGGTCAGTGCCCTGTGGTACCGGGGTACCTCAGCAGAAGACAACCATGCCCAGCTGGGAGGGAGGAGATGAAGACCCCTCAGCACCGGACGGTGCAGTGAGCCTGGGGCCTTCTTGAAGGACAGTTTGGTCTCTGCCCCCATGGGTCATCACAATCACCTGGTTGTGATGTCATTCATAGGTCATCGCTTATTGGCTGCCCTCCAGCAACACGGTGGGCTAACCGTGCCATCCTCCATAGATCAATGCCTGCTGAGCAGCAGCCGCTGTGACCCCGTGCAAATGTATAGAGCTACTTCTTCCAATGAGGTTATTAAAAAAAAGAAAAAAGTACAAATAGGATTAAGACTGGAAGAGGGTAAAGAACATTCATATATTCATGACAACATTCACCACCAGAACCTTCCAGAATGGTTGCTCAGTTCTTCTGTTCTGGGGGGGTGGTTAGGGGCTGGTGGCAGGGAATGCAGGCTGCTGGTCAGTTAAGTCAGTGGACCACTGACACAACCAGAATGAAGAATGCTAATACATAAATAAAATTCAGAAATTATTCTATTCTGGCTAGAAAAGTTGTTTCATGTTTTTCCATCCATCCAAGAAGAAAGGTTGAAAACAACAGTGGCAACGTGAAGGCTAAGAGAAGAAGAGATAAGGAGTGAAGGACGGAGGATGAGGATGGTAACATAAGCAGCAAACGGTGGTTAGTAATTAACCTCTTAGAAGAGCACTAGAAAAGAGATATTTAAGTAGGAGATTTGTTTTGTTTTGAAAACACTGGCTTGTGCTTTTAAGGGTCACCGATTATCTGAACTGTTTGCAAGGTCACTGCTTGAAAACTGGAAAACTTGTTCAATAAAATTAACAATTCTGTATTTTGAAAATGATATGGTTTAAATATTAAACTTCATAAATGTTATAATTTGTGTATTACATTTATGAATCCAGTAGTTCTTAACTGAAAACAACCAAATGTTTTAATTAAGGTTTAAATAGGAAATAAATGCATTTCAACTTTCCAAACTCGTTTTTCAGCAATTTTAGCCTACTGTAATTCCAATTACTTGATTCAAATCATGCTTCAGTCTGGTGTAACAACAAAATCAAGTTTAACTTTCATTATTCCATTATTGCCTAACATTTTCCCAAAGTAAACGTAATTTAGATGCATATAAAAGACACCGCATGTAACCAGCACAAAAACAGTCACTTCATTTTAAATGTGCATAAAACAAACAAACAAACAAACAAAAAACAAACCACACAGAAACCCAAACACATGAATGGTTAACTTTTTGTTCACTTTTTCTCAGACAAAACCTTTGTCTTACTTCGGAGAGCAATGTATTGAAAAGCTGAAGGAGCCCCCTCCTTGAAGTCATCCATTCCTAGAGTCAAAACGGTCCGTAATTCATCTACTCACAAACATCTTTTCTGCTCTGCTTCCACAAATTATGTCTTGTCTCAGAGCAGAACCATGCTACTCTGCCATGTTATTATACCTTCAGCTGGGATTTACATGGCTGGGATTTGTGTACTTTTAGACCAGCAAAGATCATTCAGTACAGTCGTTTGACCTCCTGCGTACTACAAACCAGAGTTTCACCTCAACATTCCCACATCAACCCCCCATAGGGGTCTAAGCTTTACTGGTAGAGTAAAGCAATTGATGTTGGCCATTTGCCGAGGCGATCGGCTCCGGGGCAGACGCGTTCTGCAGCGGAGCGGGGGATCGGGCCAGGCAGGGCTAATTTTCCGGCATCGAGCCTACCTGAGGGAGCCGCCAGGAGCCGGCAGCCCTCGTGAGGGAGGCTGACGAGGCGAAGGCGGAGCCAGCAGCGCCCCCTCCCCGGACGTTCAAAAGCAGCCCCTAGGGAGCGCGGCGACCAGGACGGGCAAACAGGGCGTGGCGCGGCAGTTAGCGCGGCGGTTCGCGCAGGCAGGGCAGAGTGCTCCCCCCCGCCCACACGAACACCTCTTAACGACAGCCGTTAGCTAGGCGATAATGGTCTCCACCAGGCACGGAGCGCTCTGCAGGAGGTCGGTACACACCCAGACCGACTGCCCGTTAAAGAATGCAGCGGTTCAGGTCACCGCATGCAGGGAGTGTCAGAGCCTGCTGCTGCCATCCGCGGGAGGCAGAGACACTGCGTGCGTGAGGTGCGAGCAGGTGGATGACCTGATCCGCATGGTGGCGGAGCTCAAGGAGGAGGTGGAGAGGTTGAGGGATATCAGGGAGCGTGAGCGGGAGATAGGCTGGTGGAATAACTCCCTGCAGGGCCTCAAGGAGAGGTACCGGGGTAAGACACCCCAAATGGGGGTGGACCCCCTGCCCTGTCGCTGTCAGGGCAGAGGGAGGGGACCTAGGAGTTGATGAGGAATGGAAACAGGTCCCTGCTCGACATCGCAGGCGATGCCCTCCCCTTCCGGCCCCACCTTCCCAGGTGCCCTTACGCAACAGGTTTGAGGCCCTGGAGCTTGACAGACCAGTAGCTGAGGAAGAGGTAGCAAGTGTTCCCAGGAGGATGCCTAGGGCGAGGAGGTCGACTCCACGCCTCAGGACTGCCTCCATCAAGAAAGACAGAAGGGTTATTGTTGTTGGAGACTCTATTCTTAGGGGAACAGAGGGCCCTATTTGTCAGCCTGACCCTACCCATAGGGAAGTCTGCTGCCTCCCTGGGGCCAGGGTCAGGGACGTTGCCAGGAAGCTTCCCAACCTGGTACGCCCCTCTGACTATTATCCTCTTTTGATAGTCCAGGCGGGCAGTGACGACATTGAAGAGAGAAGCCTGAAGGCTATCAAAAGAGACTTTAGGGGGCTGGGACGGTTAGTGGATGGAGAGGGAGTGCAGGTGGTGTTTTCATCCATCCCTACTGGTGGCAGGGAGGGGTACAGAGAGGACATGGAAAGCCCACCTGTTAAACACGTGGCTCCGGGGCTGGTGCCTACTCAGAAATCTTGGGTTTTTCGACCATGGGGCAGTTTACTCAGCACCTGGTCTGATGGCCGTAGACAGGTCCCTATCCTTTAGGGGAAAAAGGATCCTGGGCCAGGAGCTGGCAGGGCTCATTGATAGGGCTTTAAACTAGGTAAGAAGGGGGGATGGGGCTGAAGCAAGGACTGTTGGGGCTGTGCCAGGGGGATCAATGGCAAGGCCGGAGGATAAGGTAAAGGCCCAGCTGAAGTGCATCTACACCAATGCATGCAGCATGGGTAACAAACAGGAGGAGCTGGAAGCCATAGTGCAGCAGGCAGGCTACGACTTGGTTGCCATCACGGAAACGTGGTGGGACCAGTCTCATGACTGGAGTGCTGCGATGCCTGGCTATAGGCTCTTCAGAAGGGACAGGCAGCACAGAAGGGGTGGTGGTGTGGCTCTCTATATTAGAGAGTCTTTCGATGTTGTAGAACTCGAGGCTAGGAATGACAAGATCGAGTCCCTTTGGGTTAGGATCGGCAGGGACAACAAGGCTAGTGTCCTGGTCGGGGTCTGCTATAGACCGCCGAACCAGGATGAGGAGACGGATGAGGAGTTCTACAGGCAGCTGACAGAAGTTGCGAAATCGTCAGGCACTTGTACTCGTGGGGGACTTCAACTTCCCTGACATATCCTGGAAGCACAACACAGCCCAGAGGAAGCAGTCTAGGAGGTTTCTGGAGAGCATTGAAGATAGCTTCCTGACGCAGCTGATTAGTGAACCTACCAGGGGTGGTGCCCTGCTAGACCTTCTCTTCACAAACAGAGAAGGACTGGTGGAGGATGTGATTGTCGGGAACAGTCTTGGGCAGAGTGACCACGAAATGGTGGAGTTCACTATTCTTGGCGGGGCCAGGAAGGGAACCAGTAAAACCACTGTATTGGACTTTCGAAGGGCTGACTTTGAGCTGCTCAGGACACTAGTTGGTGGAGTCCCATGGGAGGCAGGTTCTGAAGGCAGAGGGGTCCAGAAAGGCTGGGCGCTCTTTAAGAGGCAAATCCTAATGGCACAGGAGCAGGTCTATTCCCATGCGCCCAAAGATGAGCCAGCGGGGAAGAAGACCAGCCTGGCTCAACAGAGAATTGTGGCTTGAGCTTAGGAGAAAAAAGAGGGTTTATAATCTTTGGAAAATTGGGCAGGCCACTAGGGAGGACTATAAGGATGTAGCGAGGCTGTGCAGGGACAAGATTAGGAAGGCCAAAGCTCATCTGGAGCTCAATCTGGCTACTGCTGTTAAAGATAACATAAAACTGCTTTTATAAATACATCAACACAAAAAGGAGGACTAGGGAGAATCTCCATCCTTTACTGGATGCAGGGGGAAACTCAGTTACAAGAGATGAGGAAAAGGCGGAGGTGCTTAATGCCTTCTTTGCCTCAGTCTTTAGCGGCAAAACCGGTAGCTCTCTGGATACCCAGTACCCAGAACTGGTGGAAGGGGACGGGGAGCAGGATGTGGCCCTCACCATCCACGAAGAACTGGTTGGTGACCTGCTACGGCACTTGGATGTGCACAAATCGATGGGGCCGGACGGGATCCACCCAAGGGTACTGAGAGAACTGGCAGAGGAGCTGGCCAAG